ATTGCCTTGGATTGAAAAACGGAGCAATATTCAGTTCTATAGGGAGGTTTATTAAATTGAAGTCAAACCACTGCTTGATTATTTGCATCAGTAAAATATTTTATTTCCAATTCCTCGGCAGTTGAGCTAAACAGGGCTACAGACGTATCATCCGCAAAAAGGCAGCCCTCCCCAGCCTCGTGCCTCAACACACTTGAAGGCAATTCATTTAAATCAAGAACAGTACAGGCCCAAGAACAGATTCCTGGGGAACCCCACAAATGACGATGTAGAGGAGACAAAGGGTCGAGCACACCCAGAACTGTCAACTCCTCATCTGACCTCAACAAACTGTTCCCTCTTATGTTACTTATGTAACTGTTACGGAGATATGAGGAGAACCACTCTTGTACCAGCCCTCTCATCCCAATGGAATCCAGTTTACTGAGAAGTAGATCGTGGTTTACGGTATCAATGGCTTTGCTCAGATCAAAGAAAATCCCGAAGAATTTTCTCCTGAATCTAGAGCCCTTACTACTTTATTTATTAGGGTAAACATTGCATCAGTTGTCGATTCTTCTTTTACAAATACTGTACAAATTGATTTGTAAACATAACATTATTTTTTCTATGGTTGAGATTATAGAGTTATGGGTCTGTAGTTATCACACATCGTTGGCTCGCATTTTTTAAACAATGATTTCATAACGGAGGTCTTTAACGAGTCAGGGAATATTCCTGTTATAAACGAACTGTATGTTCATTACATTTGCTAGGGGTTTAGAAATTAAGTGTCCAATTTCTTTAGTAGTAGGTTCGAAATTTCGAAATTTCTTTAGTAATAGGTATGAAATTTCGTCAGCTACAGAAGATTTTCATTTTTCATTTCCTTAATTATTTTTAAAATCTCATTCTCGTTTGAAGAACGAATCTCTTACTGAAGAAATGACGTTTAAACAGTGGACTCCTTCGGGTGTGCCCCGCAGTCAGAGCAGACTAGGACTATACTGATTTAGAGTCAGTGTACGGACACCTTTAGCTCCCTCAGTGTCAGTAGCTTGTGTTGTAACAGCTGTTTTGTTTTGAGGCAGCTAATGGTACTGTATACTATATTTGTATATTTTTTAAGAATATGAAAGCTTAGTTTCTGGGCTATGAAAATATTGACCTCACTTTAAGTGTACAAAAATAGATTATCAATTAAATATTGTTTTTGTTTTTAATCTTTTAATAAATTTACATTAAAATGAATAATATGCGAACTAATGAACTGGTATTACCTGTCTGCTATGTTATTATATGGGATGTGTGGCGCTAGACAACACTACTTGCACGGTGAAAATTCTACAAGTGGAGTTAAAGGTGGCCGTGCGTGCTTCCATCATCGAGATAAATAGATAAAAAATTGCATAATATTATTAAAACCTGTGTTTTAAGTTATTTTGAAACATTATAAATTGTTTTTGATAGTAAATAAATTCTAACTTATTTACCTCTTTTCAAGCTATGATTAAAGGTGAAGATAGTCAAGTTTCCTGGTTTGGAGATACAGTATTGGTTTAGTTTTAGGTTTAGCCCTATGGCATTTGATTAAAGAACGATCATTGGTTTATGATCTTGTTAAAATGGGTTGCTCGTAAAATAAATAAACAAACTTACGCAATCATAATTTTGAATTTTTTTTTATCACAATTTTATTTACAATCTGTTCATTTTTAGAACATTTAGCAAATACAATAACAAATTTTAATAAAACGTTAGTTAATCTCTGTCCATTGACAGAGCTAACTTAAAAATATTTCAATGAAAACATAAATATGTAAATAAACAAGGGAAAATTAAATTGTTCAAACAAAACGTGTGCTTGGATCCAAAACATGAATCCTTTTTAGCCTGTATATACTGGTGCTGTTGTCCAAGAGGTTTAGAGCCAGGTGATTAGGGTGATTTTCAAGTTTCTTTAGATATTTTGCACTAAATTTGGTTATTTCCTCTTCAACCGTAGGAATTCCACTGTCCTCGTGAAGGATATTGTTATTAACATACCACGGGGCTTGCAGAATGAACCTTAAAACTTTTGACTGAAATCGTTGGATAATGTTTATGTTCGACATACTGGATGTTCCCCACAGTTGGATTCCATAAGTCCAAATTGGCTTCAGTATTACTTTGTATAGTAATAATTTATTTGCAATGGTCAATTTTGATTTACTATTTAGGAGCCAGGAAAGATTTTTAAATTTTAAATTTAGGTACATTCTTTTATTCCAGATATGGGTTTTCCAGGTTAATCTTTTGTCAATCGTCATGCCGAGATATTTCACATCGTGGGATTGCGGAATTTGGACATTATTTAAGGTTACAGGAGGACAAGTACCTAATCTGGTAGTGAAGGTCACATGAGTAGATTTGCTCTCATTCACTTTTATTTTCCATGTTTGCAACCATTCTTCTAAGTCATCTAGGGAATTTTGAAGATTAAGTGAAGCTACCACTGGATCAGGATGGGACGCTAAAATAGCTGTATCGTCAGCAAAAGTGGCCACAGAAGTATTCACATTTTCAGGTAGATCGGCTGTAAACAGAGTATATAGTACAGGTCCGAGAACACTTCCTTGGGGAACGCCAGCTTGAATTGGGTACAATTTTGTAATGCTATCTCCAAATTTAACTCTGAAATATCTGTCGGTTAGGTATGATTTAATTGTCATATAAAATGTATGAGGAAGATTCAGTTTGAGTTTATAAAGTAGGCCTGTGTGCCAAACTTTGTCAAAGGCTTGACTTACATCGATAAAGACAGCTGTACAATAGTTCTTTTTCTCAAGGTCTTCTTTAATTGTATTAACCAATCTATGTACTTGTTCAACTGTGGAATGCTCCCGTCGAAACCCAAACTGATGATTTGGAATCAAGTTTCTGTCCTCTACTTCTTCAAGTAGACGATTCAAGAAGAGCCTCTCAAACAATTTGGATGTTATTGGAAGTAGACTGATAGGTCGATATGAACTTGCTTGTTGGGGTGGTTTTCCTGGCTTTGCTATCATGATTATTTCTGAAACTTTCCATTGTGACGGGAAATACTCAGTCCGTATAATTGAATTAAAAATGAGTGTCAGGTATATGAATGCTTTTCTAGGAAGCTCTTTCATTACTTTTCCCGTGATTAAGTCGTATCCAGGGGCTTTAAACAGTTTTAATTTGTTTACAAGTTTACAGACTTCTGAGGGAGTAAAGGGCTTTATTGGAGGTGATAACTGATTTGGTGAGTCAATGAACTCAAGAATTTCGTCAAGATTATTAAAATTATTATTTTGATTTTGATTGGGAGTAAACACTGCGGCCAAGTGGTTTGCAAACACTTCAGATTTTTCAATATCGTTTCTTGCCCAAGTTCCATCGGACTTAGAGATAGGCGGTATCAGGATATTTGGACGGTTCATCCCTCTAGTAGCTTTCCATAAAGAGTAGTTTGTTGTTTTATCAGGTGACAAATTACCTGTATATTCAGAAAACCATTCATTTTTTAAATTTTTCAGATCCCTCTTAAGTTCTTGAGTTGCTCTGTTAAATTTAGTTTTGTCTCTCGGATTTCTAGTCTGTTGCCAAATTTTGAATTTTTTTTGTTATTTTTGTTTACCATCAACAAAACAACAGGATGACGCCATCTTCATCTAGCCTCTAAATTGACAAGTCCCACCAACCAGTGAGCAGCAGAGCATGCAGGAGCACGGAACGTAGCCACGGCCGCCTTTAACTACAGGCCGCGGCCTTCGAACTGGCAACGTCGGTGTTGTAACAGTTTTTTTTTTTTTTTTTTTTTTTTTTTGAAGCAACTAATGGTATTTGTGTATTTACGAAAGATTGATTACTGGACTATGACAATATTGACTCCGCTTACATATCCACAGATATAGATTTTAATTCATATTGTTCCAATTTTCAATTATGTATGTTTTATTTTCAATATTTTAATAAATTTATGTTCATAAATTAAAAATTAAATTAATAAAGTGCGAATTAATGAGCTGATGTCACCTGTCTGCCATGTTATCTTATGGGACGTCTGTCACTGAACAACACCACTTGCGATGTTGCCAATTCTACCAGGCCGCGGCCTGTAGTTAAAGGCGGCCGTGAACGTAGCACTGGTGCAGACAGACAGCAGGTCAGGACAGCTATACAGCGCTACAGTGGTATTCCTTGCTCGCTGTACAGACAGCACTGCAGCAAGCAACAGCAGTGCAGCTGCAGCACCATTTCAGCACTAGCCTAGCACACTAGCACTAGCACAGCACAGCAGTCAGCAGTAACATCAGTAGTTAGTAAGGCCCCGTTTATGCACCAAGAGCGGGAGCGGGAGCGATTTCTAACACCATTGAGTTAAATGGGGCTGTTTATTCACCAAGAGCGATAGCGGTTGACCTCCCGCTGCGGTTTCTAATTCGCCCGCTGTGTAGTTAGAAATCGCAGCGGTTGCTTGGGATAGAGCGGTTTTCAACTACATTGAGTCAAATGGGACTGTTTATGCACGGCGGGAGCGGGAGCGGCTAAAGCCAGGGTTGCCAACTTGACCCACGCGCACGCGTGCACTTAGGACAAATAGTTGTGTTAATTATTTGGCAGAGTTTGAGTTGGCCAGACTGTGTCCCCCTTCCATTCTCCTAACCAACCGCTACCGCTATCCCCGACCGCTATCGCTCTTCGTGCATAAACAGCCCCATTCACAGCGTAAGCGAGCCCGCTATCGCCCCGCTCCCGCTCTTGGTGCATAAACGGGGCCTTAGTAATACCATAGAATAAAAAAACACCTTTATATTACTTCATCTATGGTAATACCATAGAATAAATAAACACCAAATACCACAGACAATATACTGTAGTAGTGCAAAGTGCAAGTGCAGTGCAGTCAGCAATGCGGAACGGAGTGCGACTGTGCGAGTGCGAACTGCGAAGTGCGAGTGCCAGTGCGAGTAGCAGTCAGTAGCAGCACTAGCAGCAGTGCAGACTGCAGAGTGCAGACGAACGAGAGTAAACAAACTACGAGAGCCAAATTGTTCTGTATGAAAGAGCTTTATAGCGAGGCTAGAGTCTACCTACGGCTACGTTTATAGTGAATTAAGTAATTTAGGCGAAACATTGGAGCACCGTAAGTGTTTGTGTTAAATTATAATTAGTAAATGTTATTGTAGCTTAATTGACTACAGACTAGGGAATAGGGATGAGCATCGATAGGTAAACCATCTATAGGTAACAATCGATGTACCGATAACCTCATTGCGAAAACATCGATATTTTTGGGATTAAAATAGCGATTTTTTTACAGGTTTTCGTCTACTTTTCGTACTCTCCATTAATCATAGATAGGTATCTCAATACTTGGCCAAAAACATTGATGTTTGACGAAAACATCGGTATCCTATCATCGATGTAAGTTAATAAACATCGAACAACGATGTTTCGAAAACATTGGGCGCGTTCTGGGAACATGTACTGGTGCACCGGTGCAGATTAACCGGTGACTTATTCACCCGTACCGCCCCGGGGCAAGAGTCTTGGTATCCCAGAGCGGTTATTCACCGGTTTACGGTACACATCAGATTATAATTTACACATTCACCTATTATTTACTTAATAATATTTAAACCAAACAAACTTTTCCTCACAGAATAAATTATTTGAAAATTACTCACTTAATACGTAATTTAACCCCCTCATAGAATAAATTATTCACTCATTACGCAACATAACCTATAAAACTGATGAACATTATTCGATGGACCCGCCATCTTGCCGTAGCTGCATGTTGTTGTCCAAGAAACTGACCAATCAGAGGCCGCCGGTGTATTATGCACCGTTCAATTTCTCCGGTGCATAAATCTTGCACCGGTGGAGGAAAAAGAGGAAATAGCTGTCTGCTAAGTTAACTCACCGGTCTCCCAGAACGACACATTTTTTGCACCGGTGCACCGGTGCATGTTCCCAGAACGCGCTCATTGACTGTCAATGCTCATCCCTATTACGGACATCCTGAAAACAATGGTTAAGAAAACTGGTTTCTGTTTCAGTCAAATCATTAACTTACTCCTTAAATTAAAACAGGCCTACATTATAACTTTCCTATTAGCCAATGATATAAATAATTGAAAACTAATTCCAAAACTATCAAGAAAATCAATCCAGCTATTTTATTACCACCCAAAAATCGTAATATTACCGCTTTACAGTCTAACTAAATGGGCTAAATGTTGAACACCTTTGGCTTGTATCCAGTCTCCTGTCTCTAGACACGTCCACACATGCAGACTTGAGACAAAAGTTTTGTTTCTTGTCTCTGTAAAGCCTAGTCCACACATGGAGACTGAGTCGGCCGACTGTCTGCCGACTGTGCGCGGACAGTCGGCAGACAGGCTGTCAACACAGTTTCAGATACAAGTTTCCGAAGTGTTTTGCGTCCACACTAGCCAGCCAGTGTTTCCATGTTTGTTGGTATGGTGACCGAGGAGGACGTAATTATATCCTGTGTGGGCTTCATTTTTCTGAGCCATGGGCCTAATGAATCTAGGAAGAGACTATGATGGACTCAACATTTTCTCGAGCAAGGTTCGTACGATGGTCGCAATCTTCTATCAGACCTTCAGATTAGGTGGAGGATTTAGTAACTTCACGAGGTTGACTTCTAAAGATTTTGAAATTTTGCTGGGCTTTGTTGGTCTTAATATGTTAAACTTGAAGAGATGAACAATTCAATAAAATGTCATATAATGATATAAATCATTGAAAACTAATTCAAAAACTTTCAAGAAACTCAATCCAGCTCTTTTATTACCACCCAAAAATCATAATATTACCGCTTTGCAGTCTAATTAAATGGGCTGAATGTTGAACACCTTCGGCTTGTATCCAGTCTGCTGTCTCCAGACACGTCCACACATGCAGACTTGAGACAAAAGTTTTGTCTCTTGTCTCCGTGTTTCCCATTCGAACGGGAAACAGAAAACACTGTATTTTGTCTCCAGAAACACCGAAATTTGTCTGCCGACAGTCGGCCGACATACTGGAGACAAAATAGCAACATACTGGAGACAGTCGGCAGACAATGTTTCCGCAGACAAATCGCCATGTGTGGACGAGGCTTAACACAGTATTTTGTCTCCAGAAACACCAAAATTTGTCTGCCGACAGTCGGCCGTCTTACTAAATAGAAAATAGCAACACTCCGGAGACAGTCGGCAGACAATGTTTCCGCAGACAAATCACCATGTGTGGACAAGGCTAAATATAGGCTACCATTATTTTTCACCGCTGATGAATATTTCTTAAGATATTGCCGTAAAAATATACAATATTACAATAAACGAGGTAGAATGGATGACATTTTACAAGTGGAATGAACTGTGGGTGAAGTAGGTAAGCCAACAGCTGATTGTTTTCAATCATAGTCAATCTAATGGAAATGGCAACTTTATTAGCTAACTCTGATTCTGCAATTTGAAAATAAACTGATTAAGTTACACTTTTCACTTTCTAAGACCAAAAAGTTAAAAACACAAATGATGTAATTTATTATTTTTACCAGTAAGCTTATTTTATTCTTATTAATGATTTATATTTCACCATTTATGAAAACATAATAAAATGGTTCTATTCTAACATAACTTAACCAATCCAAACCTCTAGAACAATAGCAAACTCCTTTTTAGCGAATTTCCCTATAGGGAAGCAGCTATTACCGTAGGGCCTAGATCTCATGGTAAGACCTAGGCCCGGGACCGATTTACTTTTTCATTTTGATGTCCCCAGAGGCCAAAAACACCATTTGTTCTAATTTGTCTATTAAATCTAAGAGGGTGTCAGAATTGGCAACATGATGTGTAGGATCGAGTGGAAGTACAGTTAAGTTGCACGATTCAAACATGGTAGTCAGCTGTCTGTGTTCAAGGTTATGAGTCGGCGATAGTAAGTCAGTGTTAAAATCACCCATGATCAAAACATGACGGTATTTGAACATCTCGTTAAGCAGAGCATTTTCAAAATCAAGCAGATGCCCTGATCTTGGTGGGCGGTAGCATTGACTATACACCTCTACGGTAGAGGTGTATAGTCAATGGCGGTAGCACACTCCTAGTAACAGCGCATCTGCTCCAGGTAAACTGATCTCAATAAATAGGAATTCTGGCCCAGCCGAGTACTCCGATGGTGAAGAAAAGACTGTTTTAAACTTTAAATCCTCCCTGATATAGACCGCAACGCCACCGCCCTGTTTAACAATCCTGTCATTACGTTGCAGCACATACCCAGGGAGAGACACCTCATTTGAATGAATACTCGGCTTTAGCCAGGATTCAGAAATGCTAATTAAATCAAAATTACCGGGACAAAATATTTCTCTAACCTCATCAATGTGGGCACGCAAAGACTGGGCATTGATGTGCGTCGCTTTCAGGTGTTTGGGATATGGAGATAAGGAGCGAGAAGGACAATCAGTGGTGGACAGTGTAGGGTGAGGGGTGGGGGAGGGGGGAGAGATAAGCGGGTCGCTGTGGCGAGCACTGTGCGGCTGTGGACTCGCTATCCCGGGTCCACAGGTCGGGACGTCACGACAGGCGCACCCGAGATCACCGTACAAGCAGCGATCACTGATACACACTCACACACATACATAGGCTACATACTTAAATTATTAAAGTAAATCAAAATTACTGTAAAGAATAAAACAACACGCTTGTCTGGCTCCGCTACCAATTTACAAATGAACAAAAAATAAAAGTTTTTTTTAATAAAATACATCTAAAGAAACTAAACTCAATGACATTAAATTCAACTATAAAACTTCATATGCCTATTCATCCTACATTTGTAAACAAACAGATTTTTTTTTTATTTATTATTTGAACGTGAACTTTTCCATGCAAAGATTATAAAAATAAAGGAACAAATGTTAATAAATAAATTAATTTATTGTTTGCAATACCATATTACACACTAAGATAATATATACAGGGTGGCGCAGATGGATCGGGTGGTTTTAAAATACTTGTCAAACTGTTAATTTTAAAGTTATTGGATTGAAATAAAGTGCAAAACGTGTAGTTACAATGGAAGTTTATTGAAAAAAAATTGTTAAGTTAGTTTTTAATAATTACACCCATCAAATGCCTTCCTTCTCGAGCGACGCATTCTTGGAGTCGGTCCTTGAGGTTCCGCATTGCTCGCTCATGCACATCACCAGGAATTGATGTGATTTCGTTGTGAATTGCAGCCTTCATCTCCTGAATGGTCCAGGGTTTGTTCATGTAGACCCTTAATTCAGGAGTTGAAGGCTGCAATTCACAACGAAATCACATCAATTCCTGGTGATGTGCTTGAGCGAGCAATGCGGAACCTCAAGGACCAACTCCAAGAATGCGTCGCTCGAGAAGGAAGGATTTGATGGGTGTAATTTTTAAAAACTAACTTAACATTTTTTTTGTCAATAAACTTCCATTGTAACTATACGTTTTGCACTTTATTTCAATCCAATACCTTTAAAGTTGACAGTTTGACAAGTATTTTAAAATCACCCGATCCATCTGCGCCACCCTGTATATAAATAAATAGAGAACAAACTTAACTTTAAAACTTTAAGATCATAAAATATAGTTTCATATTTAATTTAAAACAAAAATAACAAAATCTATTTCAGTTTAATAGTAATATTCATTACTATTCTTTAAAAGTGTAAATGTAAAAATAAACAAAATATTAAGAAATATATTATGTAAAATTGTAAATTAACATAATAAAATTAAAAAGGATAGAAAAATAGTAGCTGGTGATAAAAATTAAACAGAATCTTAACTGTTAGCTGAAGCAGTGTTATGGGCCAAAGCTGGTAGGTCGGTCAGACTCGCCGCCACCTTCTTCTCCCTGCTCTTGTCCACCCAGAGCACTCTGCCATCGTGGGTCCAGACGTTTCCCACGCCGAACCTTGCCACCGCCTGCTTATATACAGTTGCTGACAAAGGTGCGTCAGGTCCTCCTTGATGGTGACGCCTGTCCCCTTTAGCCGCTTCTTCACATCAAATACAGTCCGTCGGGCCCGGTATGTGCTGAATCGGAGGATGATGGGCCGATGCCGCTCCCTGCCGTCGTCTCCCGTTGTCTGCAGCTTGCCGACTCGATGGGAACGGGAGATTGCGTCTTTTGGCAGTTCCACACCAAGTTTTTCCCGACATAGCTTGACCACCAACTCGTCAGTGCTCTCATCTTTAGTCTCCTTGACACCAAAATACGAATGTTGTCCCTTCGCTGATATTGTTCGAGGTCATCCGTCCTTTTAACAAGTCTGTTATTTACTTCTTCTATCTTCTTCTGAAGACTCGTCACGTCGTCCTGCAGCTTGCAGATAACGTCGTTAAACGAAGCCAACGCCCGACAGCGGTTTTCAACGCCCTCTGCACGACTGCCTCAACAGTGGCGAGCAAGGCCGGGTCGATGTTGTCATTGTTGGAGGTAGTCTGATGCTTAGGCATGGTTGTGACAGACGAGGACGGGCTGGCGCTGGCGGTTGGAGACGGTGCTGATAAGGAGCGTTGGACGTTCCGCTTCTCCATAGCAGATAGCAGCACTGACTTGCCCTTATGTCCTGACCTCAGGTTCTGAGGTGATCGGATCATGGACACTTGAAGGTTATGTTTGTTTAGTTATGTTTTAAAAACTCATTAAAACACTATAAGTACCAGTCTCACTATTGCATTAGTTAGCGCACTCTGAAGTAAAAGTGTTGCGAAAAAGTCACTTGCGATATCTACGTAATTAACTTAGATAATTGAGAATATCGCAGAGCCGAAATGACGTGTGCCTTACTCTAACAAGTTCATCCCCTCTCTCCTAGCAATCTGTGTTTGGTAGAAAACTGTCAGCTGTAGGCTTAGTTAACCCACAGTTCATTCCACTTGTAAATATCATCCATCTTACCTTGTTTATTGTAATGTTATATAACATACGGTGATATATTGAGAAATATTCATCAGCGGTGAATAATAATGGTATATTTGGATTCAGGAGGTAAAAAACTATAAAGTAAGATATCAAAAATCCAAAAATTTGTTTGGAGGCACCTATACTAAATAAATACTACAATAAGTACAAAATAAGTCAACTCTGAGAGTGGAGTGGAGGGAGAGTCAGTTACTTGCTAAATTATTCTCCAGGAACTACCTGATGAAGAAATGGGCTGAATAAGTAGGCCAAAGTAAATTTTTTATTGCCTTCTCAAATTTTCTGGTCTCGAGGCTTCTCAGGCTCTCCGGGAGCATATTGAACAGCTTCCATGCCATGGGGAGAAACGGCATTGAGTGCTAACTTAGTTAGGCGGTATCTGGGTATATCCATCTCGTGGTACAGCTACCTGTAGTGTGGTGCTGGACATTGCTTCTGGTACTAAACTCATAAATGAATACTCGTATAGGCGATCTAACTTAGGTCATCACACGGTTGCACCAGAAAAATAACGTTTTCTGATAGAGCAAACATTCCTCCCTATTCTCGTACTTCGCCACCTTACTTACTGAGAATACCATATGATAGAGGCCTATACAACAAGATCCAGCACCTGGTGGTACGGTATCTTCACTATAGTAATTTGCACTAGCCATCATTGACTATTTGCACTCCAAGCTTAGACAATTTTTAGACTCAACATGCATGAATTGCATGGCCCAGTCATCACTTCCATGATTCCATAGCTTCGTTCATTTACACAACGTAACGTACTATTGGAAAAGATAATCCTAGTAACGGCACTGAGCTGCTTTTTGCCGTCATTCACCCCTCTCTCTTAGATATACTATATCACAAGCCTTTTTAAGATATAGGCCTATGTAAATATTCATATAAAATTTATTGAAAAGAAAAATAACCTAAAATAATGTTAATGCGAAATATCAAATTACCGGTACTGTCGTGGGCATAAGAAAAATATTAAATTGAAAACGTAAGATATTGTTTTGATAACAAATTAAAGAATAACTTATAGTGAGTGGCCACATTGTAATCAGAACAGCATCTTGGCTATTCCAGTTTGTTATATCCATATCCGCACACACAGTCAAAGTTCTATCCGTCAAACATGGCAAAAAGTCAAAATCCCTGTGTCACCAATGTAAGAAAATAACTTACCAAAGAAGTAAAACTAGTAAGCCCAGGGATAATTTCAGCAAAAGTCTGGTAAGTCTAGCCATATCTCATCTCCATTCATACTTGGCTTAAAATACCTACATTGTATGGTCGCCATTTCATAAGAAAGTAAAGTAAAGTATCTCTATATTCACTTGCATTATTTTTAACCATTTTCCCATTTACAGGGAATAAGCTGAAAAATATGGAATCACTATCGAAGCCCAGCAAATATTCATCTCGTCTCAGGCCAAGAAACAGTCAATCATCCTGTGTTGTTCCTCAATCTATTGTTGAGACAGAGACACCCCATAGTCTTTCATCTGGGAAGGATGAATTGCAAAAGGAGGATGACCGCATACAAGCTATGAACACTGATGTTGAAGGTCCCTCTAAAAGAAGTTTTTGTTGCACATCAATTGGAATGGAAAAAATAAAATTAGAAATCATGTTAGACCAAAATAAAGTAGATAGATATACAGATGAAGGATTTTCCAAAGAGGAATGTTCACCTGAAAGTCCTGAAACTAGAAGAGAGAGAATAGACATCATATCTCGTCAGTGTCGCCTGCACCCAGCCAACAGTAAGTTTATTGTTTTGACCATTAAATGCTTAAAATACCCTTGCCGCAGCAAACCTGCAGACTAAGCGAATTATCATTTGCCTGATTGGATTTACACCAAAATGTCTCCTTAAAAATATCACATATATTCCCTATTTAAATAGCATTAATTTAATACTTAGGTTTGCTGCAACAGGGAGGAAAAAAGGTGTTTTTTTTTTTTGTAAAATGTTATAAAAGTTTAGTATGAAATGAATGCATTTTCCAAATGTTATCAAAATATGCTCATAAACAAGCAAACTACAACAGTTTGAACAATTTTTTCCATCCATATACAAAGCCCAAAGTACCCATGAACCTTTTTAGAAAACTACAAGTCACACCCCCTCCCCCCCATAAACCGTATACAGTACTTAAAATATTCATCATGACGAGAAACCTTGCACAAAACTATCCATTATTTCATCGTAATTGCTTTCTAAAAGGAACTCTTCATATATCTAATGTTAAAAATACGCCAGCTGTACTTTTTTGTTTGTTAATCTTAATAGTATATTTTGTACCTAGGGCCTAAAATGAGGTTTTGCTGGCTTGAGATAGTTATTAAGTTCGAGACGAAGTCGAGAACTGAAATCGATCGAGAGCTGCAAAACCATTTCGGCTCTAGGTACAAACGCTATTTTTCACCACACTATACCCTATCCCCACTATTCACCACAATATTAAAGCACACTGATAGTCAACACAACTGCAACTTTAAGGTGTTATGTTAAAATGACTCTTATTAATTACAAAATAATTAATAAATGCACGTATATTAACTCAACACAAAATCTATTTCATGAATGTTTACAAAACAAAAACAATAGAAAAACATATGATAGTAAATATATGTATAAATGAATTATAAACAGTCTTAGAGAAGACATAACAGTCTCCCCCACTATTTTGAACTTGCAGTGTATTATTATGAAAGCACAAAGTCCTTGTATCGGCCCGGCATTTGCCTTTGTCGCCTTGATCTTTCTTGATTCTCAGGAATATGGCTATTGTTCGTTTCTGTTCCCTGAACTACTGGAACCTCTGCATTGTTTGCTTTGGGAGTTGGTGGTCTTTCGGAAATTGACGGTCCTTCGGAAGTTGATGGTCCTTCGGAAGTTGATGGTCTTACGGAAGTTGATGGTCTTTCAGGAGTTGATGGTCTTAAGGGAGTTGATGGTCTTTCAGGAATTGACAGTCTTTCAGGATTAGAACAAGTAACAGCCTTAGAATTTTCTTTTGTGCTGTGTTTAGAAGCCCGTGGAACATCAAATATGTGGATTGGTCCCGTGGTAACAATTTTTGGTTTTGGTATCAAAGTAGACCGCAATTGATCAATGTGTCGTTTAACAAGTCGGCCTGACTTGTCAAGGGAAACTAGATAGTGTCGAGTTCCCAACTTTTTGTTTACTTCTCCAAACTCCCAAACGTTCTTGTTGTTTATGAAGAGACGAACCTGAACTCTCTCCCCCTCGTTGAATGAACGTGCAGATGGAGCATTTCTAGTTGAAGCTTTTTGTACGTTGGGAAAAATGGCATCCATTCGTATTCTTAACTTCCTGTGGAGGTAAAGTTCAGCCGGTGATTTGCCACATGCTAGAGGAGTTGCCCGGTACCGCATTAAGATCTTCTGGACCTTTATTGCCATTGGTATGTTTTCCGAAGCTGTGGACTTCAGGCGGTTCTTCAATGTTTGAACAGAGCGTTCTGCTAAGCCGTTTGTTGCTGGATGTCCTGGAGATATGAATTTCTGGAAAATGCCGTGCAATTTGCAATAAGCTTGGAATGTATCACTTTGAAAAATTGAGGCGTTGTCAGATACCATAACATTCGGGTAGCCGTGTGTTGCAAAAATCTGTTCAAGCAGATTTATGGTATTGGAGCTGGATGGTGCATCTTTGATTACTTTTATCTCCGCCCATTTTGATCTAGCATCAATACACACGAGGAAGTTGAAGCCTTGAAACGGTCCTGCGTAGTCAATGTGTATTCTTTCCCAGTTCTCTTTTGGGATTTCCCACGGGTGATTGGGAGCTTTGGGCGGATTTGACCGTGTTAGTGCACAATTTTCACATCCTTTCACAAGATGCTCAATGTCCTTGTCAATATTTGGCCAGTAAACATAGCGCCGTGCTAGCTGTTTCATTTTTGTGATTCCAAGATGACTTTCGTGAAGTTCATTTAGAATCTTGTTTCTAAGTAGTGATGGAATGTAAACTCTTTCTCCCCGGAAAATAATGTTTTCGACCAACGTAAAATCAGAATCAGTTGAATTGGTGAGTAGGTCTTTCAAAATCTTAGAGAGCACTGGATCTTTGGCTGTCTCGTTCTTAATGATTTCAGCTGTGATTTCATGGCTTGAAATTTGAAAAATAACTTGGCTGCAGATTTGGTGTACCTCTTTTCCGATTTTCTTGTCTTTAGTAGAGTGCGTCTGTGTAAGATTAGCTCTTGAAAGACAATCCACGTTTTTATTTTCCATGCCCTTTTTGAACACCAACTTGTAATTGAAACCTGACAGATATGATGCATATCTGAGTAAACGAGCTGAAGTCATTTGTGGTAGAGCCTTGTCATGTCTGAAGATCCTAGATATTGGCTGATTATCTGTTACAAGTTGAAATTGAGTCCCGAATAGGTAATAATAGAAGTGGGAGACACCAAAAACTATGGCTAATGCTTCCCGGTCTAGTTGACTATAGTTACATTCGGCATCAGTGAGTGAACGTGAGGCGTAAGCAATTGGCCTCTCAGTACCATCTATTAAGTGGCTAAGAACTGCAGCTAGTCCAGTAGGTGAAGCGTCTGTGGTGAGGACTAACGGTAGTTTTGGATCGAAAGGTACGAGTATCCTGTTACTGCAGAGCTCAGTTTTGATTCGTTGAAAAGCCTTTTCACATTCTGGTGTCCATTCCCATTTCTTATTTTTGCGTAACAAACGTCGCAAAGGAAAAGTGACAGTTGAAGCATCTGGAAAGAAACGAGAGTAGTAAGAAACCATTCCTAAGAATCGTTGTAATTCTTCAACTTTTGATGGACGTGACATTTCTTTAACAGCTTGAACTTTGGTAGGAGATTTCTTTATTTTGTTTAACTCCACCACTCGTCCTAGATATTCTATTTGTTCTTGAAAAAATGAACACTTCTGTTTGTTTATGTGTAAGTCAAAATCTGAGAGTCGTTGAAGACAGGCCTGTAGATTTCTTTTGCACTCATCCATTGTTGAGCCATGGCAAATTATGTCATCAAAGTAGGCCTCGGTTTTAGGCAACCCCTTCAAAATTTGTGTAAGAATTTGGTTGAATTCAGAAGGTGCTGTCTTTATTCCGAAACTTAGACGATTGACACGATAAGTTCCACGGTGTGTTGACATTGTCTGGATAATACTGGACTCTTCGTCGACCTTGAGGTGCAGATAAGCTTTGTACAGATCAAGTTTACAAAAGTAACGAGATCCTCTCAAACTATCGAGTACATCGTCAATTTTTCGAATAGGATGGTTTGCCTGGACTATTCGTTCATTCACACCACACTTGTAGTCGACACAGAGACGAACACTTCCATCTGCCTTAGGTATCACGACTAGTGGTGACCCCCAATCACTTGACGTAACAGGCGAAATGATTCCTTCATTTTCAAGTAAATCTAGTTCCTTGTTGACCTGATCAATAAGAGCATGAGGTACGTTTCGTTCACGATTGAAAATAGGCTTTGCTCCTGATTGAAGATGTAATGATACTGTAAAGTTTGGAACGCATCCAATTTTTGGCTCGAAAATTGGCGCAAATTTTTCAAACAGTTCCTCAACTGAATTTACTGGTTGTAATTGAAGGGTAGTAGCTGGTCGGTTCATTTCAGCGTCAATTTCACACAGTTCAATACCCAGTCCTCGGATCCATTGGCGCCCTAGAAGTGCATCATGACCTGAAGGGACGATGTGAAGGTCACCTTTGAACTGTTTACCCTTGTATGATACAGAAACTGATACCTTTCCCTCTGGTTTGATTATGTCTCCAGAGTAAGAACGGAAAGCTAGCCTTGATGGTTCTACAGGTACGTTCAGATGTAGACGTTCAAAGTCATTCTTCGCAAGGAGAGAAAATTTAGCCCCACTGTCAACTTCAAAACATTGCAATTTTCCATTTATAGTGACAGAAACAATGTACTTGTCTGAATCATATCCAACTTCAAATAAATCTACAACATCAAAGTTCTGGTAGATCGAATCAATTTTGTGCACTTCGTAATCAGAAGAGTCGTCACTAGAATAATCGTCATCATTTGATCCTGAATGTAGGTTGTTGGTTGAATTTAACTTTGATGTTGATTTCTTAGTCCTTGACATCAGTGTAGTTATGCAGACCGCAGAGACATGTCCTCGTTTTAAACACTCCCCACATTGGAGTTTATACTTGTGTCTGTTACAATTTGCAGCAATGTGTTTGTTACTTCCACATCTAAGACAGAGGCCTTCTATTCCGAGGGCATTGAAGTCAGGTCTTTTGTTATTTGAACGTTGTTTCCAGTTGAGAGATGTCTTGTTGGATGAGCGATTGTTAGAGAACTGGTGGGATCGTCTGGAAGACCTTGTAATTTTGTGCACTCCAGCCGAATCCATATTAAAGTTGTTAGAACATGCATGTTGGTGAAATTCTTTGCTTTCAACCTTTGATGCTTCAAGAGCAATAGCTTTCTCTAGAATGTCATCAAACTTTGTGTAAACGGATTGTAAAAGGTGTTCCCTAAGCCAATTGTCCTTCAATCCTCGTATGAACTGTGCCCGCAAGAAAACATCAGCAATTGACACAGATGTTCCACATTCATCGTTGGAGCATTCTACTGCAAATTCACATTCTTGAAGATCACGTCTGAGGTCGGCCACAAACTCTGAAATTGACTGGTTTTCTTTTTGAAAGATATTTAAGAAATAATGTTGAGCAACAACAACACTTTTCTTTGGAGTCAATAGTTTCTTGAAGTCA